TGCTTCTTGGAAGCCAGGATGGCAAAACTTCATCTCCATACTTCAATGTGTTATCAGGAGGGACCAGTCCCTGGAGAAGAATATCATGTTAGGTAAAATGGACAATCAGCAAAATTAAGGAAGCCTCCCAATGAGATGGGTTGACACAACAGCAGCAGCATTGGGCTTAAATGTAACAACAGACTGTGAGGCACAGGACTGGGCAGTGTTTCATTCTGTTGTACAGAGTTTCTTTGAGTTGAAACTGACTTAACAGCATCTAACAACAATAAATATATAGGAGCATACCATATGTGAGTTGAGATCATTTTACTTCTTTTCCAATTGGGACACCTTTTCTTTTTCTTGTATAATTATGCTAGCTAGGAGTTTTAGTATAATATTGAATAGAATTGGTGAGAGTGGGCATCCTTGTCTTGTTTCCTATTACAAGGAGAAAACTCAGTCTTTCTCCATTAAGTATCATGCTGGCTTTCAACTTTTTATGTATGCCTTGAATTCGACTTTTTATGTATGCCTTGAATTATATTTAGGGATTTCTCTTCTTTCCCAGTCTTCTTTAGTGTTTTAATCAAGACAGCATTTTGGATTTTGTTAAGAAGTTTTTTCTGTATCCATAGATGTGATCAGTGTGGTGTTGAACTTCAAGCTCTGTTTGAATCTAAAGGTTCAAACTCACCAACCTCTCCTTGGAAACCCTATGCAGGGTTGCTATGAGTCAGAACCAACTAGACAGCACTTTAGCAGCAACAACAATAGAGGTGATCATGTGCTTCTCTTCCTTTGTTCTAGTGATATGGTGTATTACAATGATTAGTTTTCTTACGTTGATCTATTCCTGAATTCCTGGAATAGATTCTGCCTGGTCATGGTGTGTGACTCTTTTGATATGCTGTTAGGTTCTGTTTACTTGTATTTTATTGAGGATTTTTGCATCTATATTTATAAGAAATATTGGCCTATAGTGTTCCTTTATTGTGACTTCTTTGTCTGGTTTGACAAAGATTAAGCTTGCTTCCAAGATTGAATTAGGGAGTGTTCCTTCCTACTCTTATCTTTTGGAAATGTTTAGAAGGTATCAGTGTCAATTCCCCTCTAAATGTTTGGTAGAATTCCCTCCCCAGTGAAGCAGAGAATAACAAGTGAAGAGATGAAATCAGGTTTTTTGATCACTGATTTAATCTCTTTATTTGTTATGGGTCTTTTGAGACTTTCTATTTCCTCTTGAGTCAGTTTGGTAGGTTGTGCATTTCTGAGAATTTGTTCATTTCATCTATGTTATTTAGTTTGCTGCTATATAATTGTTCATAATATTCTGTCCTATTTCTTTTTTTTTTCCAATTAGATCAGTTGTAATATCACTTCTTTCATTTTTTATTTGGTCTTTTACATGTTTGTCAGTCTAGCTAAAGGTTTGTCAGTTCTGTTGATCTTTTCAAAGAACAACTTTGGGTTTTATTCTCTATTTTCAATTTTATTTATTTATGATTTGATCTTTGTTGTTTCCTTGCTCCTGGTAGATTTTGGCTTAGTTTGCTCTTCTCTTTCTAGTTCCTGAAGTTCTTGCATTAGGATGCTCCATAGGGTTTTCAATGGCTATTTTTCAGAAGTAGATTGATGGCCCTTTTTCTAAGGTACCTCTGAATGGACTTGAACCTCCCACCTGCCAGCAGCTAAGCACCAAAGAGAACTTGTAGCACAGAGTACCTTCTTGTGCAGTCTTTGAAGAAGGTTAGACACTTTCTGTCATAAGGAAACAGGCGAGGTGTGACTTACCCCAGACCCACAGCTAGTTAGTAATGAAACAGGTCTTCTGCCCTTTTTTGCTGTATCATGTACTTCTCAACACAGTGAAGACATTTAAAGGCTATAAATAGGTCAAGTTAGAAACAATTCTATGTTGATTCCCTGAACCTGATGTCTGATATCATGTCTGGCATCATGAGGACCAGGAGACAATGGGGGTGGGGGGTGGGGTGACTGCTAATGGAGGTAAGTTTCTTAAGGAACCAAACCCACTGCCATGGAGTCTCTTCTGACTCAGTGACCCTGTAGAACAGAGGAAAACTGTTCCTCAGGGTTTCTGAGACTGAATCTTTATGGAACCAGACAGCAGCATCTTTCTCCTGCAGGACAGCTTGTGGGTTTGAACCGCCAACTTGGGGTTAGCAACCATGTACTTTAACACAACACCATTATGGCTCCTTGGGTGCCTTGCAATGAAAATATTCTGGAATTATCTGTTAACTGGAATCCCTAAATGATCTGGAAATATCTGGTGGTGAAGGAGCTCTGGTAGCATAGTGGGTTACACGTTGTGTTATTAACTACAAAGTCAGCAGTTTGAATCTACCAGCCGCTCTACAGGAGACAGATGAAGCTTTCTGCACCTGAACCACATCACTGAGTCAAAACCAACTGGATGTAAAACCACCACCATCACTGTCTGGTGGTGGGTACATACATTGTGAATATATTACAAACTACCAAATTGTGCAAGTAAAACATGTTTTTTAGATACTGAAATGCTGTCTATTCAGTGCCGACTCATAAGTGACCCTATATGACAGGGTAGAGTTGCCCCTTAAGGTTTCCTAAGCTGCAATCTTTACACAGTAGATAACCAGGTCTTTTCTCCTACTGAGACACTTAAGGTCTAAACCACCAACCTGAAATTTCAGTTAGCAGCTGAGCGCTTGATCATTGCATCACCAGGACTTCATCATAAAGATTGTTATTGTTGTTGTTTAGTGCCGTGGAGTCAACTCTGACTCGTAGAGACCCTGTATAGAGTTTCGGAGGAGCTGTAAATCTGTACAGGTCAGCTGGTGAGCTTGAACCGCCAACCTTGTGGTTCAAACCAACATTGCAGTAAAGTGCATTAACCTGCAGCACCTCACTAGATTAGAGCCTAGAAATACCCTATGGGACAGTTCCACTCTGTCACATGGGGTCATCATGATTAGGAATCCATAGCACCTAACAACAACATTTGTGAAAGTGTGTTATAAAGCACTTTGGTTAGACAGGGGCTCCAGAAGGCAAGACAAAAGGCACCATCTATCCCTGTGAGTTACATGCAGGACTGGCAGCCGCCAAAGACAGCCTCCTCAGCAATTCATTCAAAAGCAGCTTAGCTGTGTGGCTGTTCCTGTAATATTCTGCACATTCTAAAGAGAGCATTGGGCCTTGGCAGTCAAGAGTTCCTTTGTCAAAAGCTGTTTTCAGATTTAAATGAGTGTTTTGGGGGAAAGATCAACCTACTCTCTGGAGGCATTCAGGACTTCTGTAGTGGAAGGCAATGCTGGAGGGGAGTGTTTGAGAAGCTTGAGAGATGGTGGGAAGGATCAGGACATAAAAAACCTTCTAGTTTGGGGCTTCTGCCTTCTGCTAACAGAGCTTACATTATTGTTCTTATATGACAGTCAAAGCTGGTGGTTTGGTCCCTCCTTCCATCTCTCCCTCCTTCTTTCCATACCTTCCTTCTATTGAACTTGTCATATTCAGTGTTTCTGTCTCAAATGGGCTTATGTGGTGTCTGCATTTTTTCAGCGTTCTTTATGATGTGAAGTCATTAAGGGCAACATGCTAACAGTTAGGATATAAATCCTCTCATTTGCCACTGTGAGACCCTAACTAGTTACTTACACTCCGAGCTTCTGTTTCCTCATCTCAAAGGAGAATGATAGTCTCTCCTGCCAGCCTCACTGGGAATGAGAGAAAGAATGAACTATGGACTATAAGTCCTAGTATGATTAATCATATTCTGATTCTTAGAGCACTAATCTTTATGGAGGATCTCCTCTATCTAAACAATAAAGACATTTATGATATACATTGGAGTCCTGGTGTGGCACTGTAGTATAAACACAGGACCGAAAGCTTGGTGAACTAGCCAGTCACTCCTCGGAAACCCTATACTAGGTTGCTATGGGTTGTTGAAACCAACTCGATGGCACTTAACAAAAACAGTGGTATATACATTAAGGAGGACTGGTGTGCTATAGGATAAGCACTAGACTGTTAATCTAAAGGTTGGCAGTTCAAACCCACCAGCTACTCCTTGGAAACCCTACAAGGTCATTATGAGTTGGAACCGACTTGATGGCACCAAGTAACAACAATGGTATACGTTAGGAGCCCTGGTGGTATAGTGGATTAAACCGCCATGGTCAATGTTTCAAACACACCAGCCACTACAAGGGGCTATCTCTGCTCCTGTAAAGATTTACCGTATAGGACTGTTCCTACTGTGTCCTATAGGGTTGCTATGAGTTGGAACAGAATGACAGTGGGTTTGGTTTTTCAATATGGTTTACATTGTATGGAGTCCTGGTGTGGCGCTGCAAGATAATATAATGCACTGGAACGCAAGGTCACTTTGAGACGCAAGGTTGGCATTTCAAACCCACCAGCCGCTCCCTTGGAAACCCTATACAGGGTTGCTATGAGTTGGAACCAACTCGACGGCACTTAACAGAGCATCATACATTGTATATATGGGAAGCATTGAGATAAAATGTAAGGCAGTTATGACATATATATGGGAAGCATTGAGATATAAGAGAATGTAAGGCAGTTATGACATATATATGGGAAGCACTGAGATATAAGAGAGTGTAAGGCAGTTATGACATATATATGGGAAGCATTGAGATATAAGA